AGGGGTTGGGGACGGGGGACATCATAAAATAATACAATGAAGGTCATCTTCAAATAGTAAGCTAAGGGTCTTCTGTAATGGGAAACTAAGTGAAACTTGTAAATAATACATTGAGGGGCCCCAATGAATGGCACATGAATATGAACATGTAAATTATATACTGAGGGGAATCTGAATATAATTAACTCGGGTTCATCTATAAATGGTAAACTGAGGGTAATCTGTAAAGGGAAACTTTGTGGCACCTGTAAATAATACATTGAGGGGCACTGGTGAATGGAAACTAATGTAGACATGTAAATTATATACTGAGGGGTATATGTAAATGGTAAACCGAGGGGCACCTGCAAATAATACATTGAAGGGTCCCTGTGAATGGTAAACTAATTTTGAAAGCATATTATATACTGAGGGACATCTGAAAATGATACACTGACGGGTCATCTGTAAATGGTAAAAAGAGGGGCATCTGTAAATGATAAATTGAGAGGCACCTGCAAATAATACATTGAAGGGTCCCTGTGAATGTTAAACTAATGTGGACGTGTAAATTGTATGCTGAGAGGCATCTGTAAATAATACACTGAGGGACACATGTAATTAAATAATACATGTAAATTCAGGGGCACCTGTAAATGATAAACGAAGAGGGACATGTAAATTAAACACTGAGGAGCAGCTGTAAATAATACCCTGGGGGCATCTGTAAAATGCACCGAAGGGCATCTGTAAATAACTCTCTGCGGGGCATCTGTTAGTCAGATGGGAATAATATTCATTCGCCAATACGTCATTCAATTATCACTGACACTCTAATCAAGGAATCATATACATGTATGTTGTACATTGACATAGTGAGAAAGTATGTTCAAATATGAAATACAACGGAATTTCGTGATCATAGATTATTTACGAAATGAAACAAATGGAAATCTGAACATTTACATCTAGAATTAAGCTTTAATTGAAGAAATTAAGAAATATGTTATAACTTATATAGCAATTAAGCTCCATGTCATTAATTTATTATTTTAACAAACCGTTTCTTAGGAATGATAAAAGAACATTTTGTATGTGTCTTAAATAGAAGTAATTCTAATTCTAATTACATGTACGATCCGCTTATATGACTGAAATACTGTTGGGAAAAGGCGTAAAATGAAACAAACAAACAAAACATGTACGATTATTACTCATGAATTCGACTTTAATAAATAAATATCAAAATAGCATGGTATTATAGTTTACTAAATTTAGAAGTAGATTTCTTTCATCGTATAGTAAGTTATATGGGGCGGTACTGAAAACCAGGCATTTTTTATTTATATTACTTATATCTGGTATAAATATCTTCTAACAATTATTCTGAACAATTATTCTTTATAATACATGTATAGATTGATATTAGATTTACAGCACACTAAAGAATACCGAAGGAGGTCCGGATAAAAAACTAAAGCACCAGTATGATTTCATTACACAGATGAAGATAAACACACATGTAGAAAAACAAGACGAATAAAAAAGCAAACTATAAATTAAATGTTAAAAGTCATTTTAATACTCACCTTTAATTTTTCCACATCACAACATCCTGACGTTCTTTACCGAATGACAGTAAATAACAAAGTTAAGTACATTTTGACATTTAAAAATCGGCACTTTAAAATATTGTTAAAGTTAAAGTGCAGAATGTTTGAAGTTTATAAATATATAACCCTCCTGCCATATGTATATACACCGCTTTTGTTATCAATAAATTGTTATAAACAACTGTATTGCTTGAGTACAATTGCCTCTTAAGGTTTTAATTTGTGATTTAATAAATCTCATATACGACTTTAAAGTTTTAAGTCCTGATCAGCGAAGGTGAATTTTAATCCCCATACCTTGTTCTGTGATCAAATTATGCTCAGTTACGAATGCAACAAGTTTACGAAAATATATATCTAGGTTTTAAAGGGACACTGCAACCATAATACATAAATTTGGTTTGTAACTTATTTGGTTTGGATGAACTTCCTAAAGACAACGTTAAATACGTCAATAGAATTATGAAACTTTGTTAACAAGTACATAACTGTATTTGAGTCCCCAGACAATGATTCCATATCTTTTTTTTTCAAACTTTTATCAACGAAATTTAGGATTATCTCGAGTGGAAGATACCGTTATATCACTGAAGTATCTTCAGTCTATAAAGTAAACATTTCTCAAGTAATTGTCGAATTACCTGTGAAAACATGTATTTTCATTGCAATTTACATTTCTTATCTTTAAAACAAAAGATACAAACAATCTGTTTGAATCACATATCAACATTTTAGATTTCCTTTTAGATGTGCATTGTAGAGGTAATATGTCCACTCATTCTGATCGAAATCAGCTTCTAATTAATGCTATGCATTAGAATCTGACTACCACCAATAGTCTGTCACCTACTAATGATTTTTCAAACAGTCAATCATCTGAACTTTAGTCAGATTGTATTTCGACTAGGCACTACTCTCGACAGTCTATATGGATATTTTCCTAACTTTGAATAATTTCAGTTATTCATGATCAGATGACCAATGAAACTTAATTAAGTGTTAATACACATGTAGTCATTAGAGTTTGATTTCTATATTTTACATTTTGACTTGACATATCTTTGTAAATAAATATAAGACAGCTATAATCACTGTCCTTTGTGAATCATTAGGGTTTAGTAATACTACGGTTATTATAATCACTATGGTTAAAATTGAAAACGACAACATTCTCCATACGAGATTGCAATTATTGTAAATAAATCAAACTATACCCCACCCACTTAGCATATGAATTAAAACGTATACGTTTCTATAAACCGCATGTATTAATAGCTTCTACATGTTTACTGCAGGGACTACCGTGTGTTTTGTTAAGAATATTGATGAAATATTTACACCGAGTTGTCCTTTAACAGTATTTTTTTAAACAAAGTACACATCAATCAATGTGGTAGTTTAAACCATAAACTAATCACGATATAATCCGTCTATATACAATTAATACCTAGCATTGTTACCTTTCTTTGTATACAAAAGTTGAAGCTTATTTCATAGCATTGTATTAGCTTAACTGAGCGGTCCGCTTAAAATATTACAATGTAAAACTCATAATTAATTCAATTACGCGCTTAAAGACCTTCATTTTTTTGACTGCCGTTTGTACAATGCATTAAAATGAAACTTTAATATTCAGGTAAACGTTGCATAACATCATTGTTTAATAATATTGATTTAGGTAAATTAAATTTACATTTACGAAACATGCCTACAGAACCGAGCCGAATTATGACCCAGCGTTTGGAATTAGCATTTTCTTAAAGATCCTGTATGTTTTGTGATTGATATTGTTACTGTGTGTGTACCACACTTGCAAAATATTATATATGTATATAATTATGCAAATAAAACAATTTTCAATCTTTGAAGAATATGTAAAATGTGTACTGCAAATATTTGTGCACATTATATTTAATCATTAAATTATATGCATTCATTTCTTATTGGAAAATTTGACTAATTACCTCCCTTTATTTACATGAAATGTTAAAATCAGTAATATCTTTATAAATAATGCTTATTGGAACTTACAATATTGACAAATCTTAATTTGAGCATCATATTAATGAAATAAAACCATGTAAAATTATGTTACAGGATCTTTAAATTAAGCATTTGTCATTTCGTATACGAAACATGCCTGCTGCATCGAAACGTGTATTATTCAGCTTTTGCCATTAAACAATTTGCATTTCGTATTTCGCAATAAGCATGACCGATGGCATTCCGTAGACATTTCATAAGCTCAATATCGTTAATTAACTTTGATACTTTTTACTTACATATATATAGAATCGTACAAATTATAGGTAATGATTGCACTTCTTAATTTTTAAAAAAAGGATTAAAATTGGATGTATCAAATGCTACTTAAGGTGGTTGGTGAACGAAATCCTCTAAATAATTATTCTTCCTAACTGTATAAACTAACTAGTATTTCCGTATATAAAAACATATATATAAAAAGTTTAATGCTATAGATAAATGAAACCATAGCCCATCCACCTCGGGGACGGACAAAGAATAGAAATGAGGCAGAAATGAGGTTTTAACTTTCGCTTGTCTGGCCAATACTTAGGTTTTGTTTTGGAAACAAACTTGCAGGAGCTATATCGAGGTCGCAGCGCTTGCGCTTTACCTTCCCACTGCCTCCGTTCGTAATTATAATAAGGCATTGCACATTTTTTTTGAAAATCCCATATAGTGGACGTGGTTACAATAGGCTACTGTGTCAGTCTTTAAAGCAAAACTGGCACATTGTGTATATACATGTACTTTTTAACTAGTTACTCACATCAAAACGTCTATGCAAAGCTGATGTATTTTTACTAAATTATCTGTCCCATACACAGTACTACATTATCTGTCCCGTAAACACCACGGTATCAGTAAAAGCCGCGTATACATGTAATAGAAAGAGCATTGAAACAGTTTTCGGAAACACGAGGCATTCTGATTTGTACAAGGGGTCACGTAGCTCCCGAGTTTTAATCAGATTGCCGAATGTTTTGATGTTCTTGTTCTTTCTCTTTTATATCATAGGCAAAAATAAAAACACGTTCACTGATGGTATATTATGAAACACAAGAAAAAAAAAACCCAATGAACTTTATCTGTCCTCACATTAAGTAAACCCCAGAAAAAATGAACCAATCAATGAGCATGCTCTAGAGTGCGGGTAACTTATACTTGCAATCAAGTTAATGCAATTTGCATGTATATGTAAACGATTTAACTGTAACACATTTGTAACAGAAAGATCCTAAAACTATGGTAAAAGTACATTTAAACGAGAGAGAGAGAGGTTTCATTTCACTATACTCTACCCGTTAATCGATCTTCCCGTATTGTATGTGCAATGAATGTATCGTCTACCCGCCACATGAAATATTGATTTTGTTATCGGTTCAGACGTTTAAATGCGTAGTTGCTGTATTTAACCTTGAGAGGTAATACGGTTTGATTTCCCAATAAATCATTTTGTTTTCTTAGGTTATATTTCTAAATTTTGTTGCGAGGATTCTTATTTGAGCGGACGTGAACTATTTTATTGAATCAATTAAGCAGAATACATTAAAATGATCGAATTAGAGCTAACTGTTGTTGTAGGATTCATTGCCACAGCTGCAACTTTATATATACTAGCTAAATGGACAAACGTCTTATGCAGAAAGAAATATCCACCAGGACCGTGGGGATTTCCGATCCTTGGCCACTTGCCCATGCTTGGGACAAAGCCTGAGGTAACATACCAACAATGGAGGGAACTGTATGGTGATGTTTTTCGGATACGATTCGGAAGCTGGAAATGTGTGATAATTAATGGATATGATGCTGTTAAAGATGCGGCGGAGAGATCTGACGATGCCTTTTCTGGGAGACCTAATTTTGTGACAAATATCTCGTTAAAAGAAGCGTATGGAGGATTTCAAAGCCTCAGTTTTACAGACATGTCTCCAAAGTATTTGCAACTACGTAAGCTTACCGCCACAGCTTTGAGTAACTACACACGGACATGTGATTATAAACCGGAAGATTTGTTCACGTCTGAAGCAGAACGACTTGTAGACTCAATGGACGATCAATCTTTTCTTGTTAGTCACAATGTTGAAATCGCAGTTGAGAATGTAGTTTACCAGATGTTGTATGGAAGAGGAACAGAAGGTGAAATACGACCACATGTTAAACTTATAGTAGAAGCCTCAAATGCCTTTGTTAAGTTTGTCAGCACAGGCAATATAGTTGATGTAGTACCATGGCTTAGGTATGTAATGAAAGGAAAAGTAGAGGATTTCAAAAAGGCCGCAACAGCTACTGATTGGATCACTAGGTCAAAAATTGACGAGCATAAAAAAAGCTTTGAAAAAGGTCAAACAAGGGACATATTGGACTCGTTCTGTGCTTTGTCAAATGAACTTCCATCGAAAGAAACTGAGGACAGTATATCTGGTGATCATCTTATGTTCCAGGCAACTGCAGTGCAGGGAGCTGGATTTGAGACAATGTCTCAGACATTGAAAAACATTATTTTATACATGTCCGCTTTTCCTGATATTCAAACACGTGTTCAGCAAGAGATCGATGACGTAATTGGCAACAGACCTGTTAAATGGACAGACCGATTAAATCTCCCGTATGTAAATGCAACGATTCAAGAAGTGATGAGGATATCATTAGCTACTCCATTTGCATTACCACATTTAACCGTGGTTGATACAAAGCTTCGTCACTACGACATCGATAAGGGAACCGTTGTATTCTTTAATCTTCATTCAGTTGCTAACGAAGACTCGTTCTGGGGCGATCCAACAGTGTTTCGGCCGGAAAGATTCCTGAACGATAATGGTGGATTAGACGCAGGAAAATGCGCACATGTCTTGGCATTTGGAATTGGAAGACGCAAATGTGTAGGGGAGGCGTTAGCCAGAATGAACATATTTATAGCGTTTACAATTCTAATGCAACGTCGAAAATTCTCTTGTACAGAACCAGAGCACCTAAAACACAATTTAATTGATGGCAATACTACTGAAGAGCAGTGCAAAATCATTGTTCAAAGAAGAACATAGATGAGATCTAAATCGGAAATGAATGTTGTCAATATATTGATATAGCGAGTGTGTCATCTAAATTCTGATGGCTGCTTTCATAAATAGACTTAAATGAAATACTGTATCAGTAGCGCTACTAGCTGTCAAACTCAGTACGATAATGTTTTGATCTTACCTAAGACCACGTAGAACGATTGGATGAAATACAAAGCTTGAGTTTGTAACTAAACACTTATTCTTTCTTACACTAGTTTCAGACAAGACAAAGCCGCGTAATAAGTTATTTTGTTTCTTTCGAGGGAAAGGAATAAAAAAATATTTTTTATCAGAACAGAAGGAAACGTTTTTACGCATAATGAATTGATTGATTAAAAGTCTTACGACAGCCTCTTTAATGATCAAATACATGTATATCAATACATCACATTTAAAAGAAAAGCATTGATGCAAAGCATCAAAGGGCGTCCGAGCAAGAAATGCAGCAGGTGAAGATGAACTAGTAGACATATGATGACAAGATATTCTTATAATCTTTTCAATGGTTAATTGGTTATTACCAGAATTGTATATCACTTATGAATGAACGGATGGAAGACATTGTTCATTATGAACTTTGATTGGCATGCTAGAGATTAGAATATTACTTGTTATTCCTTTATGATCGTGATTATTAATAGCAACGGATATACATGTATATAATCATTTATAATCCATATGTGTAACGCATGATCAACACCACACTTGTGCAATTGTCCCTTATTATGTTATCGCTATAAGCGAAGACGCCCTCTTAAGGTATCTGTTCACACTTATATGACACTGGTTATACGTATTACCATGTTGATCATCTTGAGCACAATTGTTAATTATACTATAATTGTAATATCTATTTTAATGAAAAAAAATACAGATTTTATGAATATTGTTTTCTTTTCTTTTTTTGTGTTTTATGTACTATTTTAATATTGAGTTTTTACGCTAACTACTCTTTTTTTTATTAAAATTGTAAAATTAATTTTAAAAATTCAGTTGTCATATTGACCGACGATTATAAGTCAAAACTTAACTGGAAAAAGTCAGTAAATTATGGTTAATCTTTCAATATAAAATATTGTTTATTCTTAAACCATGTACATGTACATTTTGTATTTTTCTTTATCATTTTTTAAATTATCAATCAATTGAATAATTCATAAGATCTAATTTGTAACTTTGAATAATTCATCGGCATCTTTACTAAACTGTAAACACGAATAACAAATTAAATAAAATGTTTCCAAGTTGATAGTGTCGGATTAATACCATAAAGATATACCTTTTTCCTCAATTATTGTACATATTTTTTGTTTTTATCTCATATCGATAAATTGACACATGCTTTTGTTGTTGTTGGTGGTGTTTTTTTCGAATTGTATGTTTATGTATAATAATAATCAATAAATTTGAGAGTTGATCTGTGTTTATCAATTATTGTAACCAAACTAAGTGACAAACATTCATTTTGGAAAAAAGCTTATTTATCTGTAAAATATTTTTTCTGTTCTGTAACAATATCAAACATCTACTCCAAAACCGGGAGAGACCGGACAATAAACGTGTGATACTATTCGCCGGTCACTAGTAAATCCCGGTCAAAAAAGATCGGGAGAGACCGGGAATTACCGATAGGAGTACATCGCTCTATAAATAGATTTTTGGACTTTCATAATGTTTAGGTCAACAACTCATCATTCTATTTACAGATTTCGGATACATGTACAACAATAATATACCATAATAACCCACTGTGTACTACAAAATGATAAATAAAAAACCCCGAAGAGCGCGATTTATTGGCGGAAAAGGTAATTTCATTTGAAAATGTTTGCATTTCGAAATTCTCCAGTTCGCTATTCATTGTACATATCGCGAAATTTCATTTTTAATTAATAATCAAGCACCCTCATACCGATCGGAATGATCAGCTTTTATTATGACCGACTAAAAGGCTCGAGAAGTTGCTGTCGCCCTTTCACAAAACCTGATTTCATTCCATAAGGGGCGTCGCGCTTCGGCGCGGACGCCAATAAATCGTTCTAGCAGTCTTTTCCATTTGTAAATATCTAATAGTTAAATAATAAATAGACAAATTATATCGACTTTTTCCGTAATGTTAATTTCCCATAGGCCTCTTGGAGTTATTATTACTGTTAATGCAAGTGTACCATGTGACTGAGAAATGTGTACTGTTACATAGGTAACAGTACTTTTTAACAGTATAAAATCTGAAGCATTTTGTTTACAATTAAATCTTTTAATTATTGATAAAACGGCCGTTCTCAGTTAGAATTTAAATTCTTAGTTTTTACGTGTCACCACCGTCTATCCTCATTATTGCAGGTTATTGGCCTGTAAGTCTATGCAGGTTTAAGAAAGTAGATATTACCTTAAATAACACACTTCGTCTTTGGTCATGAATAAGTGTTTGACAATAAGCACCTAAAGTTACGACAATGACAGGTTCATGATTGTCGCCGTTCAATTTGTAAAAAGTGAATGTGTATTTAGATGCTTTAATTGTATTGTTTTAATTTTGTTTGATGCCGTGCTATTCTGGAACAATTCACGATTGTAAATTTTGTAAATTAAATCTCAGTAACAATAACTTATAAAAAATGGTTAAGGATTAGTGTTTGGCTGAAAGTATATAAATAACACATGAGGTTGTGGGTAACAGTAAAAATATCATCCCGAGGAAAATACTTTTACCCATGTGTTATTTATTTTAATACTCCGAACAAATATTGTCATCATCTGAAATTGTCAACTAAATTTAACTGTAACAAAAATTAACCAAGAGTAACAATAAACTTGCAAGTTTTAAGTGTACTGTAGGCCTACTTGAGAAGTTTTTTTTCTTTTATTCTTTAAGCAAGTGGTGATATCCACTAGTCATAAACATACAATAAGCTGTGTTTTATTTAGAAAACAAATGACCCATTTATACGGTTATGATCTGTGAAATCTGATCATTCTGTATCCAGACTATTATTCTTCGCATGGTTTTTAGTTGGGACGTAGTCCCAACTAGTGCACTTACAAACCCGAAATTTCCAACCATACCCAAACAAAAAAATACATCAACAAATTATATCAAAATTGTGAATAAATCTGGAATAAATCATGTTTTCCTGATTTGTTAATACAATTTGTTCATGATTCATTAAATGAATCATAAATAAATTGTGCTTTTACTGGAAAGAAAAGACCCCATTTATTATAGATTCATTACAAATGACAGATTTATTAACCATTGATTACAAACATAAGATATATTCAATACAATTTATTGCAAATTCATTACACTTGAACTGGAATGTATACAATTTATTCATGATTTATTGGAAATAGAACTTTTCCCGACTGCATTTAATACCATTTATTACAAATTCATTACACTTTAAAGTTCTGAGATATTCACAAGTTGTTCATGATTCATTAAAATCGGAGATTTTCCAGGATTTATTCAATACAATTCATAACATATTTATTGTACTTCAGATGTTCATAATTTGCTTAATTATAACAGAAATTTTCATTGATGTAGGTCCTTTTGTTTTACTGTTCATAACAACTAAACCCCTCTCAACTATACAATTTTTTTTTTTTAATTTCCCTTTACTCATTACCGTACTTGTTTTTAATCAGTCACTGGAATATATATATGGGTTTTTCAAGTCTCTTAGTTTAGGCATCACCATATTATTAATTCCATGCTCAGCGCAAAACGTGAAAAAAGGAGTCAATTATACAAACTCGTTTTACTGTTAAATATGTTCAACTAATTTGCATGTAGATTTTATTTTTGAGTGATCAAGATCAGTTTTTGTCTTTCTTATTGTTAATACGCAATCTGATCCATACCCACGGCTTTTTATGATTAGATCTATCATTATCAGTAAAAAAACTGTCGAATAGATTAACGTATATGCGTAAAAAGGTAAAATGTCGTAAAAAAGCGACTTAAATTAATTCTCTCGGACTTAACATCTGTTGTTAGTTTATTGTTTTGAACAGCATGGCTCCCAGCCGCGCGATTAAACGATAAGATCTTGCAGGGAACTGCAGCCTACCGAGCGCCCCCTATCAGCCGACAACAGAACAAGATTAATAGGAAACGAATTTTTTTTGCCATTTCAGAAAAAAGATATCTCACCATACAAACAGTTTTCTTTCTTTTGGATATAACTAATGTCAGAAACAAACTAACTTACAACAGATTTTGTCATTGCAGCTGCAAAATTAGGAACTTTATACAATACTATAGTAGCTAGGAATAACATTTCGTTTGCATTAATTCTATGCATAGGAAAAAGGCGGTTATTTTGGAAGATGAAAACGTGTGGTGTTACACAAAAATATGGATAAAAACAATATCAAGGCATCTAGACTACTGATAGATGGTATACTGATAGACGGTAAGTTCAAAATTTTCTTTCCGTTCTACATAGCGTTTTAATAACCTTCTATAGATCTAGATCATATGTAAGTTGGCAAAAAATAAAATTTACTGGAGTAATGTGCAGATTAGGATAACGATCGATTCGCCCCATAACGACTCGCCCCATTTTAGTGACGATTCGTCCCCCCTAATGGCACCACCTTAAATTAAACATTTTTTTATTCATTTGACTTGGATTGAAAAATATTTATGATACAAGATACAAGACTTAACAAGTTTTGAAATATGCACGCATGTACATGCATTGTTTATGAGGACATCTATGTACAGCCCATTAAAAAAAAAAATCTGCATTGTTTCACACTGAGCTCATCTGCACATTTGAATGCGATGAAAAATGATGTTCTTTTTTATTTTAAGTGACTTCAGAAGACTATTTTTCTTTTACTTAGTTATCTCGCAGAAAACTGAAAAGAGCAGCAAAGAAAGGACAGAACGTAAAAATCAGCAACTCTGATGAAATGGTAAAAAGCAGATGAACGGGAGATAATAAAATGCAGATGGACGGCTTCTTAGATCGTGAAGAGTTTGCTATAGTTATGGGACGAGGGCATTCCAAGGAAATGACATATATGAGTCTTTGAAGCGTAAGTATAGGGCTACATATATATTAATCATTTTAAAAACGACAATGTGCTTTTAAATATTAAGTAGATCTACTAGTAAATGATAAAAAATAATACTTTTCAATCTGAATTTTGTTCATGTACATATAGTAATTCAATGTCATAGCCTTCCGATTTCGTTTTAAATTTAATTGAAGCAAATGGTAAAAAACTGGACTTGCTACAAAATATTTGTTCATTCCTCTGTTGAAAATGAAATCGAACATTCACCGGTTTGTTTTATCAACAAATATTTATCTATCATAAGACTTTGTGAAATATACTGCTGGTTTTTATTCAATAGAACATGTACAGTCCAAAGTGGTTGTTTGGCTCGAGTAACAGTTGTTCAAAATTCAAATTCAGATTGTATTGCAAATAGAACAAATATTTATTTCATGCTTTCCAGTGTTTTATTGTAATATATCAGATGATTATATTCTGATAAACCACTAGTGAAATTTATAAAATATAATTTTCACTGTAGCCGGACTATATCTGAATGCGGATGAAAAGAAAATCAAAACTACATGGAATAATTAACAGGCAGAAATAAATGCCGTCATGCGTAAATTTTGCTTCATTAAGAAAAGGAAGTCGATGTCATCATACATCATGTTAAAAATGTAGCACAATTACAGAAATTTAACAGGCCTATGTTTCACAATTCATGATGTGACGTCATGATGTGATGACGTCACAAAGGAGAATACGCGACGTTACGCGGCAAAATCAGTAAAAAATACTTAAAATCACTTAAAAAAGCATGAAATAAAAAGAAAATTTATTTGTTTTACATATAAGATTGAAATATATTTCATTCGTGAACACCAGCTATTATATTTTCACTCGTGGCTACGCCACTCGTGAAAATATTGCATCTGGTGTTCACTCAGTGAAATTATATTTCAATCTTACATGCAAAACAAACAAATATCCTCTATATATTATACTTTTTTCAAAGTGATATGTCAGAAGTCTAAGTTTAAATTTTGATATTTTATTTATAAATATGATACTTTTTATGAGAATTTTATTTTCTATTTTAGAGTATGCCATTCATTGCCTCAGTATAGAGATTCAACATTTAATGATTATAGGAATTAAAAAGGTGTAGCTCCAGACAGACACTGAAAAGGAAGGCAAAGATGTTTTCAGACTGACATAAAGCCCTAGTTTCTAAAACTAGAAATATATTCCTAACAGCAAGCACGAATATTTCCAGAATTATTCCCCTTTACTTGTTTACCGACATTACCTGTTTTATTTGCAGAGATATTTATGAAATG